CTGATTCCACAGTACCAGAAAACAGCTCACCAGATTGCCTGCACACCTCAAAAACTCGAAAATGCTGTGTCTATTCCACATGTTAGAAAAATGCAGGCACACCAAGCTGAGGCCCCATAACTCGTTATTTTATGTCCTTTGTTTTGCCTACAGACAACCTTTGCCAAAAGATACCAGATTCACCACGTCATGTTTTAAAGTTCTTGATGGGTCAAGAGCTAAACAACTGGACAGACCTAAAATTCTGACAGAAAACAGGAGATGCAAATGGGGCACAATCAAGTAGGAAATTAGCAAATCAGTGGATGGACAAGTGACAGGATTCCCTGCTCCCTCAGAGAAAATCAAGCTTGCTATACCCAGCCTGTGCCTGTATCAGAGCATCAAATAGACCTCTGAGTGTACAGCAGATACAGAAGCCTGGAACTGGAACGGTGACCCATGTGCTGAGATGTGGTTTGTGTCTATGGATAGAGCACTGCTGAGCACATCCACCACCTTCACGGGGTGAAAACGTGGAGCACAACCTGGCACAGATGTGCTGTGCATTACCAGCTGAGACCTGCACCAGGACAACACTTCAGGTGTCATCAAATCTCTCAGAAAACTATACTGAAGAGACCCTACCATCTGCACACGAGACACACTGAGCCAATAAATTCCATGCAGGTAAGCTATATATTAACCCCTATGCACCTAACTAATCTGCAAATTAAAGATTAGTTATTCTGCAATTTAATTCTGCAAACCAGAATTACTCCTTTCCATGCCATTCTTCATTGCATTTTCTGAACTCAAATATTTCAGTTTCTTGCAGAAGGTTAAAAGAAAAGTAATCCCTCAGAAATTTTGCTGTCCAACTTTTTTTTTTATTGTAAATCAGTAAAGTTAAAGGATGACAAAGAAGATTAACTTCCCACCTATACACCAAAACTTTCCTTTTCATGGGCAATGGGGCTTAGTGCACCTGGGAAAAGAAAAAAGCCTCCTCACGCAGGGCAGGAGGGAGCACCCTGTCTCAAAGCTCCCTGGGAATAAAGACACCAGCTTGTCATTGGTGTGGCATTAAGGATCAATAACTCTGGAGCCTGAAAGCAGAGCATGCAGGAACACAAGTGACAGAGCAAGGAGGACTGCGTGACCCACACAAAGCTCCCTGTTTGCCTTCCCTCTGCATTTAGCACTGGGGCCCTGGTTTTGGGCAGCTGGCACCTGCACGGTCCCTGTGCAGGGGCAGCTGTACTGAACTCCACCAGCACCAAGATGCTCATACCCACAGAATGGCAGAGATGGGGCACAGTGGAGCCTGTCATAGCAGCAGGACCCATACAGTGGCTGTTCCTGCCTTCCAGTTGAGTAATGCAAGCCCATTTGTTCTGGGTGACATTAATGCTATTCACCATCCATCTACAGACTCTTTAAATTACCTATTTATGGCCAAAATCCCCTTCATAATTGATAAAAATCTCTTTTTTATAACTCAAGTTATTGAAAAAAGTGAAGATTTTTATTCCTCATTATAATTTTAATACAAATGTGTTTTTTTTATTGACAGCTGCTTGAAAGCCCTGAAAGGCCTACTGAGAGAGACTAGAGGAGGGGTGGGAAAAGGGCCAGATCTTCCTGTCCCACAGCCAGCCCTGTGCTCACTACAGCAGCATGCAGAGTTATTGCCATCACAGCCCCCACTCTGGGGTGTAAAAAGAGGCTGGTAATGTCACAGAGGAACAGGACATCTCCTCTGCTGGATACAAAACCCACAGCAGGCACAAGAGGCTTTCACTGACCTAAGTGCAATTTCCCCGTGTCTGGTAGTCATGTACACAAGGGCCAACTTCAAAGCACACACCTGGTACAGCATTACTAGAGGGTGCTTAAGGTGTACTATTAGAATCAGGATCACAAGCAACAGGAGACCTGGACTCAGAGGTTTTGCCAAGGCATATACAGCATGTTTGTGAGAGCCATCTGGTATCAGACGCACAGCATCAAGAGTGAGAGCAACTGACCACTACCTGAGTCACAGCAGCACAGTCACGCAGAGCACTCTACCACTCTGTGCAAACCTGGGGTAAACAAGCAACTCTCCTGGCATCCTGGTCTGGTTTAACAACACTGCCAGCCTGGGAGGTGGCTGGCTGGGGCCATATCAGGATCTGCAGCATCATAATCTGAAGACCTTGTCATCTAGTAGGGCAAGTGAATCTTCTCCAGTATAACATACAGAGTCAGCTAAAGAAAGCATTTCACATTCCCTTGGGAACAACTTGGATGCTGCAGGACATGCAGTGCAATACCCAACAACATACTAAGTCTTTACTACTCTCCCACAGAGTCAAGTACGCTTCAACAGTCCTGCACATCAGAACTAAGCATGTGTCTTGCAGTGCTTGAAGAGCAGATAAACAATTCCTGAAATAAAGGAATCAGACTGTCCTCTCTGCCATTGCTGGCATGCAAAGGCTGCCATGCTGTACCAAGAGTTCATACAGAAATAACAGTAAGAAGAGATTCTCCTATTCCTGCTGTCCTTTCTCAGACTGCAGCAGCTCAGTGGCAGGGAAGTTTCTTGTTGTAGTGATTAAGGTCGTCATAGCAAAAGCCAGGGCATTAGTAACTTGCTGCATCCAAGCTCTTTTCCCCGGTAGGTTCACATGGCCATGTGGCATTGCATATGACCATGCTCCCCTGGTGTACATGCTTATATTTCAACAGTGGATGAAAAAGGCCCATGTACTCAACAGAGAAACTGTTGGGATCTCCACGAGCAATTTAAAGTAGTGACAAAAGGGCAAGCCTCCCTCTTAGCAACAGTTTTTGTACAGGGATAACATCTTCTCAGACAAGAAGTATGTCTCCTCTTGCACAGCACTAGTGCCATGCCAACACAAGGGTAGGAACACAAAGAGAGCAAAGCCCATTGACTAAGTAAAGGCTGGGTCCCCCAAACACCGCTGTCTGTAAAAATACATCCTGATTCAGAAACCCAAGCACAGGACCACCTGCCTCACATGCTTTGTTCACTAATCATAGTAAAACCATCAGCATATCCCACCCTGCTCAAGCAGCAAGCTCCATGACTGTACGGCTGCAGGAGGATTCTTACAAACGGTAAGCTTGTCCTTGCACTGGTGTAAAAGCCAGTTAATTAACTGTGGGTGGTCTCCTTGGAGGTGCAGGCTAATCACGCAATTAGAAACTACTTCCCATTATCAGTGCTCCCACAAAGCAAGGCTGGACTGACATCCTTCTAAATGTATGGCTTTACACATATTCAAGCTCCTTATACGATTTGCCTTCAACAGAGAGAAGAGTCAACCTCTGGCTCACCCCAGCCCTTTCTCCCAGCTTTGAACTAAGCGAGCAGTGGAAGCAACAAACTCAATCCCTGCCAAGTTCTCAGTAAGGGCCTGTTTTGCCTTTCAGTCTTCCCTGGAGCCCAACAAACTCTCCAGCAGTAGTGTAAATGTATGCTGATGTGAGAAATTTTGATGGTCAAAGTTTCTAGAGGCCTTTAGCTTAACAGCAACTGAGACTGCTCCCGTTCCTGCAATTTTCACTCAGCTCTTGAACATCTTCAGTAGCTGCTTGTGAGGGGCCAGAATCATTACAAAATCATTACAAAAACAAACAAAATCCTAAATTTACCACCTTGTAACTAATAACCATGGACATTTACCTGTGATTTTAATACCTCCCAGTTTCACCAGTTATTCCATTTTCATATATTCCATTCTCTTTCATTTCTCTCTTCTTTCAATCATTGTTCTCTTTCTCTTTAGCATTTGCTCTTTCTCTTCCCATTCCTATCTTTTTATCCCCCCTGTCTCTTTAAAATTAAATATCGCCCAGCACTGCCCATGTGGGTGCTATGAATGCTAAGAGGAAAAAGGGCTGCTGTGGAGACTGGATTCAAGCTGTCTCGCTGGGAATCAATGAGGCATGGAAAGCTTGCCTAGCTCCCAAAATGCTGAAAGAGACCAGGATATGTCTGTGGCAGCTGAATAGAAGGACGGGCCCATCTCCTCAGCATGTGGCTCTGCTTCTGAGAGACACCACACAGGCAGACAGGGGTGGCTGTTTTGATCATTTAGTAGCAGCTAACCTCAAGGTGGTTTTTCCACATCTGCAGAAGTGAGATTGCAGGGTGAAGCCCCATAGAGCAGCAGGAAGCAGACAGCCTGTCCTGCTCCATCTATCCACTGAGCTATGAAACACAGCTGGTACTGGCCAGGCTCTGAGGACACAGCATCGAGAAATGAAGCATCTAGCTTGCAGGAAGGCAAAGAGAACACAGGCCAGAAGCTGACGCTAACCCTGCCATTCAATTGCAGGGAGATACAAACTGTCATTTCTAACAACCACCACCACATCCAAATCCATCCACAATTTATCTACTAGGTAGGTGCAAATACTTCAGTCAAACCCCCTTGTTCTCTCCACACCTCCTCACCACACAGACTTCCTGAAACACCCTCAAAGAGCCCCATAAACCTCTTTTGTATCAACAGCTCTGTATGTACACATTGCTTCTATTCTTCAACAGCCTGTCTCTCACCCAGCAATTCCACTTTTTCTACTATTGCCTTTGCACAGTTTCCTCCTCCCTCCCACATCAGCTGTGCTCCTTGAAATGCCCCTGGTCAGCCTGGGAGTTGTAAGGCAGATCTCTTCTCATACAGGGCAAGACAAAAAGCAGCAGAATGCTCTCTTTAAATATCACAGTTACTTTCCTTATATCTGATGAACACAGACACCCACCTCTGATCTCAGTGATGCAGCCTGCTGGGGGTTAATGGTTACAAATTCCTTGGATATTATGCTACCTGACTGCAAGCACCGAAAGTGATTTATGCTATTATTTTCTTCGAAGGTTAATTAGGGGCTCAAAAATCTAAAGGGTTGTCAGTGCCAGCTGGAACTGATCTACTGCAGTCAAGGGAAAGCAGTCTTTCCTCACAGAGCCCTGCAAATGCATCTTTGCCCTGAACAGCCCTTACCTCTTTGCCCAGATCCTCACGGATGACTTGCTCGATCTCTTGCCTGGTGCTCTGTGGGGCCTGGCTGTGCAGCACCTTGAGCGTGCGGGTGTACTCCTCTGGCAGCAGGTAGTCAAGTGCCCCCAGGTGCTGGCCCACTTTGATGAAGGTGCCTCGGTTGGCACAGCACAGCTCTCGGAGGCGCTCAGCAGAGCGCAGGTGCACCTGCAGAGAGACAGAACATCAGCCAAGCCCTTTTGCTACCTATTACATGCACAGAACCACACGTACACCTTCTATTTATCCGCTGTTGAAACACTCTAGGAATTTCCATTCTTAATTTTGGGCTTCGTCTGCCTAAGTTAACTATTAGGACTCCACCTTGATTTAGTGGGACTGAAGTAGACCAGGACAAGATACTCCAGAGCATAAGGGGCTTCCATATGTATCTGCACAGGCACCATGATCACAGGCATCCAAACAGCTTTTGGCTCTGCCCAGGGCTACATCTTCACACATAACATAACGTCTACCATAATTATTATCCACCACTATGATGCACTGGGAACTCTTGTCAAAAGACAAGTGTCAGTACTACAAACAATACTGGACCATCTTTGAAAGAACAAAGAATTCAAGTGAGAAGAAAATTGCAGATACCAACCTAGGAATAATCTGGAGCCTGGAAGAAGAGTCTATTAAAAAATATTATTAAAAATAATTAAACTACAGATATCTCTGGTAGTGAGGAAGGGCAATACGTGGAAGTTCTTCACACTCCTCAGCAAAAAGGAGAAATTACACCACTCAAGTCCAGACACTTCATAGTCTTACTGCTCACATCGCCAACAAAGTGACAGTAGTTTTATGGACTGAGAATTAGGAGACTTACTAGTTTTGCTTACACTAGCCAGAAAGCATGCAAATGACAAAAACCATCATCAACCACCTGCCCGTTCCTGAGGTTCACTCTGCCTCTCAAGAGCCAACCAGTTACCACGTCTTTTATTGACAATAATTTATTCTGCTATTATTACTCTCAGTAGGAAAGCCTCCTGCCAAGGACAGAGCTACTCAATATTCTTTCATAAACTTCAGATAAGCTTACCCGATACGTTAATAAAATCTAAGCAAATCAATGACAAAAAGCAACTATGTGCCCATCTCCTGGCAGTGCTCAGCATCTGTCGTCATAGAGGCCCCTAAATTCTTACGGCTTCCATGTTGTAAGTCACTGAAGGTCAAATCCCGCAGTGCAGACCTCGTCTGGCCAGGAAATACCAAGATACCGGGGTAAGGAACTCTACTGAAAGCCTTAAAGTACGTGGTAGAGATGAATACCATCACAAAAATGCAGAAATGCCACTACATGTACATCCACACCCACAGTCTCTGTTTAGTGGCCACTTCTGCCCTCCATGCAAAGCAGTGCTATGTCACTCCACAGGGCACGGCAAATGTCTTGCTTCTGGGAATGTCAGGGGACAGGCTGGGTGCTGAGCTGCAAGTGCATGAAATACAGGCCAGGGGGAGTGTGAGGAGAATATGAGAGTCTCTCACACTCTGCATGTGAGATCTGACAGCTTGATGCACACATGCACGCATACACACACACACTTTCCCTACGTGGCCACACACAAGCAAGCATAAATGCACAAAGAACATGCTTATCTAAGCATACTGCCTGCTCAAAAGCTCTCACAGAGGCATAGGTAGAAAATAACCTCCACAAGCAGTCCTGAAGCCTCCCATATTCCTGTGCTAAATCTTACACACCTCCTTTGAAGCTCTTGCTGTAACAAGCAGGGCTCTATCCTGGTTGCTTTCTGCTTTTCCCTTCCATGTGCAGAAGAAAAAGCAGGCCAAAAGGGGATATGGAAAAGAAGCTGTGAAAAGGACAAGAAAACAAAGGAGAACATGGGAAGGGAATAATGGGATGAAAGAGGAAAGCAGGAGGAAGGAGGAAGCCAGAGCAGCTGGCTATTTTGTCACAGCACAGGGAACTCAGCCCATTACAGGAATGCAGCCTGCAGCGCAGCTTTGATAACTGCCCTCTGCATAGTCCTCTAGCAGCAGAGGAAGTCCTGCTGAAGGCTGAGTGGGGCTGACTCCCCAAAAGTGCTGGGCCAGCTGCAGCCCAGGGCACAAGAAGGACACAGCACCAGGCCTGCCTCCTTGCAGATGCACTCAAAAACCTCCAGCACCAAGTGAAGGCCAGCACATGGACTGTGATCCCCACAAGATGCAGCAGGAAAGGCTCTGGGCTGCTACATGGCTCAAAGTAAAGCACCAGACATAGATGCCAGGGCTGTAAGACAGGACTGTCTTACACTGGCCAGCTGGGACCAGAGGCACTGGCCCCAAAGTATTTTGCCACCTTGCAAGGATCACTGGGAAACGGCTGGGTGGTGAATGACCAAAGGCAGCTGGGAGGAAGGAAAGCTCAAGTAACTGCATATACAGTCAATGCAGACACACTTGGATGCAAGGTGTATCTTCATGCCTGTCACTGCAGACATGACAGGAAATTTTAGCCCTCCCAAACTTATCCATCCAGCAGAGAACCTAGTTTTGCCTTGTGATCACAGCAATCCTTAACAACAGAGACAATGACACTCTGACAGAAGAGTTAAATGGATCAGGAGCCCCACACCCAGCACTCTCCGCAGCATGTTTATGACTGGTCTGGCTGACACTGAGACAGCTGCCCTAGAGGCTGTCAGGATAAGGGACCAGCAGCTCCTGCCCAGAGTGTTGACTGAACAACATATATTGGAAAAAGAAAACCTAACTGTAGCCTTCAACTCAACGAAACTTCAGTCTTCATTAAAGGTGAAGGTGAGAATGAAGCAGGACTGTGAATCTCGCTGTCAAGGTCTCTTTTCTTATCACAAAGGACAAGGTGTTCAGGAGAAAAACATTCTTACTGCTATTAATTGATGTCAAGTCAGGTCACGGTCCAAATGTAGTATTTGTTTCTTTTATCCTAGCCATAGGCAAAGTAAGAGAGCCACACTCCTCCTACCTTGCCTGCCTCTGTTGACCCACGTTTCTGCCCTATCTCAAAGAAACTGCACGGTGAACAGAAATCCCCCAGAATGCCTCAGAGCTTTCTCCAAGCAATCTCACAAGATACTGCTTTGCTACATAAGCAATACCTTGAAAATTCTTCTTACTGGGGAAAGAGCTAGGAACAACAGCTAGTTAGACATGGACCTGCTTGTATGCACCCTGCCTAGGAGCATGCTGCAAAGAAAGGAAGCGTTTCACATACAGAGGATTACCAAGAATAAGCCTCCCTCAGGAAGCACTTCAGATCACAAATGCTGTCTGAGCGTGCAGATGGCTGTTTCCCCTACCCACATGGGCATCTCTTTCTCACTCCCTACTCTCTCCAAATTTCAGCATGATCAATTGTCTATTAGCTTACAGCATGGCTATCCAACCTATGAGGCTTGCCTAAACCCTGAGACTAGACTGGGATTAACACTAATTACTAAAATGGTTCCATGTGGGCCATAATGAAAGCAGGAATTCTCAGATTTAGAGACACCTCTGGTATGAAGCATATAGTCTCTGCAAGCAGGAGAGCACAATGACATTTGTTAATTTACTCTTGATGTACAAGCAGATCTGGCTGCTCAGCCATTTTGTTGCTTTTGAAGGAGTCTTTGCTCAGAGACCCTGGCAAAGCAACAGATATGCAGGTGCCACAAATGAGCAGACATTAATCTGACCTTCAAATGAAGGAACTAATTTAGAAGATAATAAACACCAAAGCTAAAATTTCCTGGTGCCAACTTGAGTATTTTATCTAGTGATAGAACTGGCAACAAAAGAGCTCAGAAAGGCCACTTAGGACAGCAAGGTAAGAGGCAGAAGCATTCTTCATATGAAAAACCCTTCGGAAGAGTCATTCCAACCCTGAGGGGTATACTCAAAGTTGGCAAAACGTGAAATGAGGATTAGGGATGCAGAGAGAAGAATCTGAAATGCAATTAGTCAAAGACATAACAAACAAGTCAGCAGAAATTCCTGGTGATGAGAGCTGCCTACAAGAATACTGCAACCACAAATTCCTCAGAAAGCCCATCAGTCTCGATTTTTACAGGAAGATGAGTCTAGAACAGCTGCTCCTTCCTCTCACCCCCGCACAGGGCAGCACACTTGGACAGGTGAACAGCAGCAGTTCCACACTGCTTCCTGCCCAATCATTTTCACTTTAAGACCTGGTTTGATGAGGTCCTGGGCAGCCTAGTCTAGTGGGTGGCAAGTCTGCTCACAGCACGAGGTTGGAACTTGATTTTTAAGGTCCCTTGCAACATAAGCCATTCTATGATCCCCCCTACTTCTCAACCTGAGCAAGAGAGGGGGGTGGAGATGCCTTCTCTTGCCACTGCCAGATTCTGGGAAGTCTGCCATAGGCCTGCCCATCACTGCTAACAGTGGGGATATGCTCTCCACATCAATATTTTTAAAAAGCTGAAAACATCAATCATGTAAAAATCGCACATGATTTCAAAAGGTAGCTGAAATGTTAATAATGATAACAAAGAAAAAAAGACTGTGCATTAAAACTGTTAGCTTCCAGAGAACCGAAGGGGAACAAATGGTCTTTTGCTTTTAAGAAAGTCCAGAATAATCTGGGAAATTACCATCTTGTTAGCTTTTGTTCTGTATCAACTAAATTAGCTGAGACACTAATTACAAAGAGCACTAAAAAAATCATCTTGTTATCCGTGATACCGATGTAAAAAAGCCAACAGGAATTTGGAGAAAATAAAAAAAGAAATCATTCTTCACCAGTCCACTAAAACACTCTGAGCACATTAATGCAACAGTCAATACAAGAGAAAGGGGGGGATATTCATCAGGGCTTTCTAGTGCCTTTCAATAAATTCCCCCACTAAAAGTGAAAGGAAAAACAATGAATTATTGGACAAGATGTAAGAGCATTCTTTTACATCATTTGCTCAGTTGTCCCATTCCATGCTCAGAATTCCATCCTCACAACAACAAGCCCAGAGCACTATGGACAGTAAGAGTGGGAGACTCTGGATAGGACAAGGGTGCAACACGTAGCGGTGTTTTCACCACAGCTTCATTCCAACTTTCTCTGAGCAATTTTAGACAAGGTGATACTGCAGAAGTCCTGTCCACATTAGCACCTGCAATGCTGTTATTCCATTGAGGCTAAGCTAGCAGCAAAAACACCAAAAAATGTG